CCATTCCCCCCCACCCACCCCTCTGTTTTAAACCCTGGACATTTTTTATTCGCTAATCATCTCTCAGTTCAACCAGCTCAGAGCTACACGCGATTTACCTTTTGATGTTCACAGAAGAGAACTCTTGAATTTCAAAGAGCCGGCGGGGATTTGGGGGAGTCGAATGCAGAAGCTCCAGCGTAATCAAACCTCATTAGAGGTTATTCTTCAAGCAGGTTTTTTCCTCTGTCTGCCTCCCTCTCCCCTCCTAGCCTGATTAGATGGCTGGTGGCTGGGTTTGCTGTGTTTTCTTTGGAACAATCACAGTGAGCAATCTCTACCCAGCACCCTATAGTAGAGGCTGCAGCCTCCTTCCTTTCCCTGCCCCCTACTGCCCCCACAGAAGGTGACAACTGTCCAGGCTTTGTGTTGGGGTTCCTCTTTCCACCTCACACTAGTTGCCATGGTGAGAATTAAGGCTTCCCAAATAAAGGTAGCTCTGGGCAAAGTTCCTTTCTCATAGAGTCAACATCCTGCATAGAAAGGTGGCTGCCTTGGATAAAGGCAGATCTGAGAAGAAGGATGCTTATAAAACCCCACCAGCACCCACCCACTCCCTTCCCCGATATACACAGGACTCTGGGTGTATTGTCATGCCTGTCATGAAGCAGAAATGCTTTGGAGAAGCCATGATGTCTGGAGATGCTAGAAGTGTTCTGAGACCCACAGTTGATACTGAAACCAAGCCTGTGTCCCTTGAATAAGACATCTCTCTAGCACAGGAGGTCGGTTCAATAAACAAATCATGAATGACACATGGCATAGTAAGAATGGCTACTATCATCACTTGGTGCCACTAAATGCCGCATACAGGCTTTGTCCTTTTTGAAGAGCCTCCTCCTGTAAATGGCTCCCATTCTACAGATTAGCTACTATGCTGAATGGCAGTATAGTTGCTTGCCCCGGGTTTTAACAGCTTTATAGTGAATACAGCCAAATAACAAGCTTCTTGGGATGGAACTGACTTCCTTTGTGACCCTCACTCAGTGTTCAGCACATAGAAATTGTGCCCTAAACATACTTCCAGTGTAGAGATGTGAGCAAAGTTCCAGGCCTGGGATGTTACCATCTGCAGAGATATTACTAGACTCTCGGATTCATGAATTCAGATTCTCTGTATCCCCAAAGAAATTAAGAAACAGAAATTAGTGAAGGAAACTGGATTTTCTATTTTAACAGTGTAGCCAAACCAAGGTCATGCCTGTGGTCATCTTTTAATTTATAGAAATCCATGAGACAAAGGCTGTAATAATATAGTCAATTTAGCATTGAGATGGTTTGACCAGTCCTGTTCTGGGGCAAAGGGACTTGGGTCCCAAGTTACCTTCACTATCTCAGGTTCTCTATCACAGAGAGTGTTTTCAAGTCAGAACCAAGGAAAACGGGGTAGGCATTCTGTCTTAAAGATCCCCTAGTGGGAAGAGTCCCACAGTAGTGGGCCTAGGGTGGGGCCTGGAACTGACCCAGACTCTATGCTAGTTTCAACCTTGGTCAAAAAAGCTTTTTTTGTCAATGGGAAGTTGTTAATACAGAGACTCACAATGAGTCAAAACGATGAGAGTATGTGGCCATTAGTGCTCAGCCCTAAGTGTAACATCTACATCAAGCCCTCTCCCAAGGCTGGGGGAGTATCCCATCACAGAAGGGGAGGACAGAGAGAGTGTAAGACTCAGAAGATGAAGAATGCTGCAAAATGCTGGCCAGAGTATGGACACTGCATCCATGTGACCTCTAAAGGGGCTCACACAGGGAGCTCTTGTCAAGTTGATAGCCATGGGGGAGGGAGAGTCATTTTTCTTTGCGGTTGTGGCCACAGGTTTGGTGTCCATCTTGCAGGTGGATGGCATCACACCTGTGTGACTCTGAGCAGCACTAATTGGACTCAGTGGGTGATTAAAAATAAAGAAGAAAAAGGGGAGGACATGAAGTTGGGACGTCTGAGGAGGCAGGAAGAGTTGGGAGAAGGGAGGTGTATGTATGTTTTATTTATTCTCAAAGAATAAATAGAATATGTTATTTAAAGAAACACTGTTAAATGGCTAGCAACTGTTGGAACTTTATTTCTAATGCAATGATTGGGGAGGTAAAAAGCAATTTCTCTGTGGGAAATCATTTTGCCATTTCTTATAAAAAAAAAGTATGGATTTAGAATGAACAAAATATTCTCAACTTGGCAGTGAGGAAATTAAATCTGTTCCAACATTTTGGGGGGAAATATTAAATAATGATATTTCTGTTATTGTTGTATACGTGGAAGTCCTGTGTGTGTGCACAAACATGAGGATATGAGTTCAGTTCCCCAGCACACATGAAAAAAGCCAGGTATGGTTGCATGTACTCCTATAATCCCAGTGTTGGGAGATGGAAACAAGAGGACCCTTGGGGAATTGCTGGCCAGAAGTCTAGGCAAATTGGTGAGTTCCATGTTCAGTAAGAGACCTGGGCTTCAAAAATAAAGTGAGAATAGTTAAAGGCAATACCTTAGTTAGGGTTTCTATTGCTGTGAAGAGACACCTTGACCGTGGCAAGGCTTATAAAAGTGCACAATTAATTGGGACTGGCTTACGTTCAGAAGTTTAGTTCATTGCCATGGCAGGAAGCATCATGGCATGCAGGCACGCATACAGGTACTGGAGAAGTATCTTAGAGTTCTACATCCAGATCCTCAGGCAGCAGGAAGAGAGTGTGACACTGGGCTTGGCTTGAGCATTTGAAACCTCAAAGCTCACCCCCAGTGACACACTTCCACCAACAAGACCACACCTCCTAATAGTGCCACTCTCTATGAGCCTATGGGACCATTTTCATTCAAACCACCACAATACCCAACAATGAACTCTGTCCTCGACTTTCATATTCATACATACATACACATACACTCACACACACACACATGCATGCAAACATGTACTCATGCAAACACATACACATACATAATGGTCTCCCATATCTGAAAGAAAAAAGAACTCAGGGATTTTATGGACTGTGCATGTGAAGCTACAAGTTTACTCTGGCCTGACAGAGTTCTTTGTCCCTAGTTCCATTCATTTAATAGGTGTAGGGCAGAAGCCATTTATATTCTTAATTTGGAGGTCAGCTTGAAGCTGGGATTCTCCATGTCTGTTAAACACACTGATTCAGTGATTCTGATAGCTGGAGGGAGAGTCACAGTCTCTCTTTAGAGTGTTTCCTCTCTCACCATGGCTTCTGTGTGGCATCAGGGTTACAGGGGCAAGAGCTTGCCCGGTGAGGTGTAAAACCAGCTGCCAGTGTCAGGAAGTGATAAATGCTGTAAGAAGCTTCAGCTGAAAACTGCTAAAGTTTCCCAGGGGAGGAAACAATTAATTCTCCCTAAGTAGATTGGAAAGCTGTTAGAGAGGAAGTGACATTTGAACTGGTCCTTGTGGGCAGCTTAGGGCCATTTCAAGTCCTAGAAGAGGCTCTCAATGGTGAATAAGTAGAAGAAATTCAGGTGGCAGCACTGGGCATGAATAGCTGTGGGCAGCATAGACAGCTCAGTGATGGGAGACGGTTTGGAGTATGGGTAGTGGGGAGGCACAATTGGATTTTATCAATTTATCTGTGGCCACATGGAAGTCCACACTATTGGATGTATGTGTCCAAAAGGTCACTTGAAAACCACAAGGAAAATAGTCCAGGGCTGAGATGAGCTGGGACAGGTGCAGGCTGCAGTGGTGAACCAAATAAAAGTGAACAAAGTGAGGGATTGTGGGGAATGCCCTGTACTTGAGAGGGGACAGAAGGAAAATCCACGGTTCAAAAACAGAATGGGCTACACAGTAAGACCTTATCTACACATGCATGCATGCATGCAACAGGCAATGGGGGTGAACCAGGACAGAAATAGACAAGGTAAGTGAAACATCCAGATAGAACTATTATATGGAGAGGGAGGGTTGTTGTTGGTACCACCTGGGTTTCTATGTGGGTGGGTCACTGGGCAGTATATCATTTACTGTGATGGAGAAGGCAGAATTATATCCTCAGTGGCCCCTGATGAGTGGGATGATTGGAAAACTCTTTTGGTGTCCCCTGAATCTTCATTACTCCTATGCAATGATATTTAAAACTGGAGTTGATGCCATAATTTCTTTTTGCCACAGTGTGTTAAACCGCACCCCTACACATCTGATCCAGGAAATCATATTAGTGGATGACTTCAGCAATGACCGTAAGTAACACTGATTATTGGCAACTGAGGTACAAATGTCTGGTCCCAGCCACTGTGTATGAGTGGAGGAGAACCCACTGATACCCTGGAGGTGAAAGAAAGCCAAGTTGGGTAGCAGGCATGGAAGACTGAATGTCTATGCCTGTGCATAAAAAGGTGATAAACCTTTTCATTTGAGAAAAAAAGTTGGGATATTGGAGTTCTCTGCTGTTAAGTTTTTGAGAACCAAATTAGCTAAATTTCTTAGATCCCTGTCTGGGATAGTTGGCAAGTGAGTGTACATGTGTGGATGGACACATGTGGCATCAGTGTCATTAGCTCCTAACCTACATTCCTGGACATGAGAAGAGACCACACATTCAGAGAACTATCATTCTAACCCGGAGCTCTGTCAGAGACTTCCGATCTTGATGCTGCACTAATGTACCAATCCGAACTCAGGCTGCCATGTTTCCTCCCTCTCATTCCCTAGGGATCTGGCAGGCCTCGACACTGAGATCTCCATGGAACATTCATCCTAACACACATTTATGATAGTGTGAGCCTTTGAACCTTCCCACACACTGGTTATCACCATTCCCTGCCTCGTATTTCCTAAGTTATTTCATAAAAGAACCCAGGTGCTGTCCAGATTTATTCCCCTGGTCCATTTTCCCAAGTAAAACATGACACTGTCTCTAGACATCTGTTTAAGTTGGAAAGTCACAATAATTACAGAATAATTAGTAGAATGCAAGTATTAGCAGTGCCAACCCCCTCTTCTAACAGCCATTGTCCTGGATGCAGTCCTGTAGGGGGAAGCTGTAGCCACGCCTAGTTAGGGGCTGGCTGCAGGTGTGTCTGACCATGCCTAAGAGGGCATGGTCAGGGTGATGTAGAGTGAGACTTTCAGGTGTCTGGGTTTCACTTTCGGTTTCACTTTTCGTCTTGCTGTACAGACTGCTGCTGCTCCGGCTGGCTAGGTTGCTCTGTAAGTAAGGCTTTTCCCTATTAAATACCTTTATATTTCTACTTGGTTCCATATTGGTAATTTCTCACTTTAGAGTCCTATCAGTCAACCATACTCAGATGGGACAGTCTTTTCCTGGTGGTGATCCAGATAGGTGACACCAGGGGACAGCGACCACAAGTATCAGGAAAGCATCCTCCACCCCATTCAGCTTGATGTTGTGAACTGGACACAGGGATTGCTCACACACTGACACCTGCTGCATAAGCACTAGAAACACTCACAAGGACAGAGACTTTTGATTCCTCATGAAAAAGTGAGCTATGTATGAGGCTTTGGGTACCAAGACCTCTGCTAGCTTGGAATGGGGTTACAGTCCTTTGGGGGGTCACCAGGTACTCGAGCAGAAGGAAGTGCTGTAAAGCCCCTAGGAACAGGATAACCTAGGGTTTAAAAGGAGCCACAACAGCCTGGACTCAAACCCTAGATCTGAGACTTCTTCACTCCTTAGTCATCTGCCTCAAGCAAGCTCTTAGCTTTAAGTAAGCTCCCTCACCTATATAATAGAGACTACTACAGTCATATATAGAATTTATATAGAGGCCAAGTGTATTGGCACATTCAGAGCTCTTAAGAATAAGACCTTGCCAGGGGAAGCCTGAAAAAGTCTCTTCTGTTGCTTGTTAGAGTCCAGCGCTAAGCAGAAAGGCCAAGGTCTATAAACAGAACCAAAGGTTGGGGCTACCAGTCAGGTAAGACTGGAAATGGTAGGGTGACAGAATAGTCCTAGTACGATTAGGGCAAGTGATCAAAGGGCAGCGGGTCTCATACCCACCCTGTCACATTGTTCATTAGACTGGAACATTCTCCCATGATAAGCTCTGTTGTGATGATAAAAATCTGTTGGCTGATTTCTTCTTAAAGATGGCCTCCCTGCTCTAAAAGCAACATCCAAAGTTGTTTTCTCCTATTGGTGGCTTTCTGGCATTTTTAACTAGACTCAGTGCACTGAGAGACTCTGAATTAATCCAATGAAGATGACCCCAGTGTGAACAGACCAGGGTTACACACTAGGACATTTTCTTGAAAGCTTTCATGTACCACTCTGTGCTGACATGTTCCAAATGGGCCCAGTTGTGATCACTTCACTCAGTGACCCTCAGCCCCTTCCATGACCTAGGAACACCCTGGACTCAGGACCAGGCTCTGCAGTCAGGATGGTGATAGCAAGTAGATCTACCTTCCTGATGCTTCTAATTTGCTCATACACAGTCACACCCCAGGTGCTCACTATGCATGACCTTTGTCTTTGCAGCTGAGGACTGCAAGCAGCTCATCAAACTGCCCAAGGTGAAGTGTTTGCGCAACAATGAGCGGCAAGGTAGGCTATACCATGGGGCAAGGCTGGTGGGAGTGGAGAGTGGGGTATGGTGGGTGTATGCATTTGGGTGTTCGAGGGAATACTGAAAGACTCTTGCATGGTCTTGCTGGTCACTGAAGCAACAGTGGTACCCACCTGGCCCTTTGTCCCTGGTACAGGTCTGGTCCGGTCCCGGATGCGGGGTGCTGACATTGCCCAAGGCACCACTCTGACATTCCTAGACAGCCACTGTGAGGTGAACAGGGATTGGCTGCAGCCTCTGTTACACAGGGTCAAAGAGGTGAGTCAGGCTGAGAAATGGAGCTGGGGTCCCTGCCTCCCTCTTCTTTCCAGGGCCTGAAAACTTGTGACTTCACTTAGGGATCTGGGTGGGACAGATTGTTGTCCCCACTTTATAAATGAAGGACTAAAGCATAGTGGCTCACTCTGCATACAGTCAGTGGTGCAGCAAGGTCTGGGTTGTTTGTTTCATTACACTGTTGCCTACAGCAACAAGTCTTAAATGGAAACTGTGCACAGGTAGCATGTAGCATTCAGTGTCCTGGGCCAGAGAAAACTACCCAGAATGGTATCTATCAGGCAGAAGAAAGTTCTGGAGAGAGCGTCCTCCCGCATACCTTCTGTAGGGAGGAGGCAGCAGAAATAACCAGTTCCTGGGGCTTATGTCTTCCACCCACCCATCTGTCACTCTTACCTGCAATCTCCAGGCCAAGCCAGGAGGCTGGATGCTGAGAGTGGAAGCCCCTTCCTTCCTTTTACCCTTGAATTACTCTGAGATTTGGTGTGCTGCTCTTCTCTATGCCCCAGTCACCATTTTAGAAAACATGATCATGTTCTCCTTGTTACTTGGTACTCTCTGAGAAGCTCACCCATTCCTCTGGCTCATCTGCAGAGCAGACAGTGCACTGGGGACCCTGGTATTCAATGATAAATACTGGTGCTGCCTGAAAGTTGTTTAGCTCATCCTAAACAACTGACTTGCAGACCCAGTGTGGGAAGCAGGAGTCAGGCATTTGTAGCACACTCCTTTCACAGATGAGAAAATAGTGCCTGGACTGTTTTGTGATGGGTTTGATATTCTTTAGGGATGATAGATAGCCCCAGAATCAGCAGAACAGCCTGTGGCCTGGGCTGGGATGGTTTCCTCCTGCCCTGGCTGATAGCCACTCAATGCCAGCTTGCATAATAACAGTGTTGAGTGCAGAGAAGAGCCCAGTGGTCAAACTGCTCAACAGAACCAAGAAGTCCTTGCCACTTGTCCTTTGCAGGAAGGACCTTAAGCTGGTTGACTGAACTCTCACACACGGGGCTAGTTGTCAACACCTAATAGGGGCTATTTGCTCTGAGTTTTCTCTGACTTTGTACCCTTAGCATCATTCAGAAGGATCTGAAGGGGGAAATACTTTTGTGAACTGACCCTTCCATTGAGGGGTTTCCCTTGGCACTGAAGGCCCTTCCAGAAACCTTCGTCCCCTCTGCATTCTTGTCCTAGCTTCTGTAGGCTCCCCAGGCTTCTGTGATGACACAGATGGGCTGTTCCTGGTTCTGTCATTGCCATTGCTAGGGTTCTCTCTCTCTGTCTCTCTCTCTCTGTCTCTCTCTCTCTGTCTCTGTCTCTCTCTCTCTGTGTGTGTGTGTTGAGAGATATTGTATATGAATATGAAGTGTGCATGTACAGGGAGGGGCACAAAGAGGCCCACAGTAGAGTCATCTAATCTCTTTCCTCTTTTGCTTTCTATCTTGACTTTCTGAAACAAGATCTCTTGTACCAATCCTTTTCTTTTAGGCTACCATGCAGCTCCCAAATCATGACATGGAGACTTATTATTAGTTTTGAATGCTTTCTGATTAGCTCTATCTTAAATCAACCTGTTTCTCTTTCTACCTTTTGCCTCAGGGATCTTTATGTTTCTTTCCTTCTGTATTTCTCACTTTCACTGCTTCTTTTGTCTAGCTGGCTAAAGGCTGCCTGGCTTCTGGCCCCAAGTGTCTCCCTCACTCTCTCCTCCTTCTGTCATTTCTCTTCATCTTCCCAGGCCAGCTTCCTCATTCTATATATTCTCTCTGCCTGCCAGCCCCATAGATGCTTTCTCTGCCCAGCTATTGGCCATTAAGCTCTTTATTAGACCAATCAGATGCTTTACGCAGGCAATGTGAAATAGATGCAACACATCTGTACATAATTGAACAAATGCAGCATAAACAAAAGTAACACACCCTTACACAGTTAAAGTAATATTCTGCAGCATAAACAAATGTAACACACCCTTACACATTAAAGTAATATTCTGCAGCATAAACAAATGTAACACACCTTTGTGTAGTTAAAATAATATTCCACAACTATATAGAGCCTAAAGCTCCATCACATTGTCTAGGCTGACTTGTAACAAACTTCAGGAATCTTCCTGTCTCCATCACTCTCATCCATCACAACCCACTGATATTGGAGTTACAGGCCAGTGCTGCCTTGTCGAGCTTTTTACATAGATTCCAGGATCTGAACTCAAGTCATCATACCTGTACAATGGGTACTTTGCTTACTGACCCATCTCCCCAGTACCAGCCAATGCCTTGTCCCTGACCAGGTTCTTCCTGTCCCTGGCCGCCTTATTTTTCTTTCCACAAACCTTCCTGTTCCTCAAGACTTTGCAAGTTGCCCCATCTGCATGCTCAGCCAGGATCTCTCCAGGCAGTCACAGCCTACTTTAGCCTCCATTTTCCTCTTCTGAGTTCTTAGTCTCCCTCAACAGATGACAAATGCAGTTGGGAATTAGTCCCCTCCCCATCACCACCTTAACTGCTGTAGATTGGCCCTTACTGCTTAGAAACTACCCTTAGAAGCCATAGCATGTTGGGGTGGTGGCATTAGTAGAAAAGTAGACTCATTCCTACCCCTATGTTAATTAGCTGGTATCGATAGACACCTATTTGGGGAAGAGTCTCAAACAGGCTATGTGAAAGAAATTAGTTGGTACTTAGTAAATCTCACACAGTTCCTATATACAATCAGCACTGGTTACCTATTCTAGGTAACCATGGGTAGAAGTGCTATGACAGTAATTCTCAACCTATGGGTCTCAACCCCTTTGGGAGTCAAACAGTCCTTTCATGGGGGCCATCTAAGACCATCAGAAAACAAATTAATAGCAGTAGCAGTATTACAGTTATGGAGTAGCAACAAAATGTTATGGTTGGGGGTCACCATAGGCGAGGAACTGTATTAAATGGCTGTAGCATTAGAAAGGCTCTGTGCTATAAGGAGTTTTCATGAGAAAGAAACACAGGAAAGCTTAGTGTACCTCTCAGGTGCTGTGCATCCCCCTCCAATGGGGACATTTATATCCCCAGAAAGGTCTTTGTGCCCTGTGAATTGCTCTCAGGAGCCAAGGGCTAATAAAGTCATCCCCTTGCTAGTCTGTGTCTGAAGCCAAGAAGAAACTAGAGTGTGGAAACAGGGTTTGAAGGCCAAGGCTGAAGACCCACAGAAAGGTAAAGGAGTAGGAGACAGACACCATACTAGGGATAGAAGTTGGGGTTGGAGGCAACATTCCCCGCTTCAGCCAAGGGCATACAAAAGAGACATAGACTTAAAGCCAGATGTGTGGTATTATGGAAACCCTGTGGCATAGGAACAGAAGATGGGAAAGAAGAGGCTGGGACCTCTCGTTTTTCCATCACAAATGTGTCCCACAGTTACTGCAGACTTTTTGGAAAATCTGGAACATTAGAATGAAAACTAATCAACCAAAATTGTGTCATTTCTTCCCACTTAGGATCATTTTCTCTTAAAAGAGCACCTTTTAGTATAGTTGTAATCATCGTGTATTTGCCCAGCTTTGTATTCTGCTGCCCCCCTTACCCATAAGCACTTTCTCCAGAATAGCAGATGCATTGTATGTGTGCATGTACGTGCATGTAAATGACATGTAGCAAAACTGACCATTTTAACTATTTCAAACTGCAGTTCCAGGCTATGTAACTCTCACTAAATGTAATTATAAAACATTCTCACCACCTCAGAAGGAAACTTCTCACCAATAAGCCACTGCTCTCACTCTGTCCCCTCCTTGCCTCTGCAGCCACTAACCTTCTTTGTCTCCAGACACTTGCCCATTCTGTATGTTTCATAAAATAAGAATCATATGAGATGCCCTTTGAGCCTGACGTATCTTACCCAACATATATTAGACTCCACACATATGGTAGTATGTCAATATTCTTTTTGTGTAAACAATCATTCCATGGTAAGTCTGGGCTATGTTTTGTTTTTATGTTCATCCACATGTGGATACCAGTAATGATGCTGGCAAAACTATTTATGTACAGGCTTTTATTCATGTATCTATCTTAAGTTCTTAAGGGATGTATACTAAGGATTAGGGTTGCTGGAATTGAATGTTTCTTGCATAGGATTAACCTTAAAGAACTTTTTTTAAGTTGTTGTTGTTATTCTTTGATAATTTCATACATTTATATACCAAGTTTGGTGCATCCCCCATTGCTGTCTTTCATCCCTACCTGTCTCCCACTAAAATCTTTCTTCTCTCCAACAATTGTCCTCCTGCTCTCTCCCTCTCCCTCCTCCTTTCCCTGTCCCTCCCCCTCCCTCCAGAGTCTTATTGTGTGTGTAGCCCTGTATACTATGAATCAGGCTGGCCTCGATATCTGCCTCCTCAGTGCTGGGATTAAAGATCTGTACCACCACGCCTGGCATTTCTTTGTCTTTTGTTGTTGTTGTTGTTCACTGTATTTAATTAAGGTCACCTGTATGAGCACTCATGGGGGATTATTTATTGGAACACAGGCAACTTATCAGTGGCTACACCACTGGGGAAGATGACTTTCAGGCCTTCCCCTAGGACTCACTAGCTGCCTAGAGACTAACAGTGGGAGGTGCATGATGAAAATAGGGATGTGTGCCAATCTTATGCGAGTCTATAGTAGAAAACCACAGTCTTAGAGGGTATTTCAAGGGAGTTCAGCCTTAATTAGTCTAAATCCCTTTCTATCTCGATGGCTCTGAGTCCATCTTGGAAAACTCTCCGAGAGGTGGTCTCATTTCTCTGTCTGTAGCCAGCCTTACCTACAGACTGGCAAAGTGCTCCTTGTTTTCTCAAATGGAAGTTTGGCTTCCGAAAGCCAGATGCTCCTCTGAGAGCCATTTGGCCCCATGATGGAGCTTAGCTTCTTGGTTCCCATCACCTTCCAAGCTCAGCCTTTCACAGTGAAGAGATTGGTGAGAGGAGCCCCAGGATTAGCCTAGAGAGTCCTCTGTGGGCTGCTAAGATCACCCTGAAATCCCTGCCTCTTCATACTATGGGGCAGGCCCTGGGACAGCCTGGGGACAGCCTTGCAGGCATAGGGCCTGTGTATGCATTCCAGCTGTGTTTCTGGATTTCTTTGTATATTGCCTTGTCTCCACATAGAATGTGATCTGATCTTGTGAGTGGAAATGGAAATTTTAAGCTATAATTGGAGATTGGGTTTTCAAAAATAGAACAAAGTGAGGAAAAAAGCTGTCTTGGGCCATCTTCAGCTGGTTTCCCGTGTGACACCTCCTTAATTTCCATTCCCTCTAAATCTTGATACTGGAAACACCAAGTTGGTTTCTGCACTGTTTTGTTTGTTTTTAACATGGTCTTCTTTCTCTCACCTCCTTCCTTATATATGTTTTTGATGGGAAAGAGATTGCAAGGAATCTCAACCCTTTCAACACCCAGCAAATTTATATAAGTGGCAGTTGATGTAGCCTTCAATGCCTTCATAAGAGCTTTCTTCTCTTGCTTCCTAGCACGAGCTCTATTCAAAAGGCAGGATCATCTTGCAAGTAGTAGCAACTTGCCTCCACATCACAGGTTTACAAACAGAATCCCATAGAACATGCCAGTTTACCTAGGGCATACAGAATTCTACATGACAGAGCCTGAATGGAAATCCAGATGGCCTGTCGATAAATGCACCCCTCCGCCACAGTGGCATCGCCTTAAGGGCCCCCCTCCAGCTTCTCTCACATGACTGGTTTGGATGTTAACTGATCCTCCACCCTCTGCCCCCTTGCTCATTTGAACATCCAGTCCCCAGTTGGTGGTGCTGTTTGGGGAGGTTATGGAACTAGTGGGAAGAGGGTTCTAGCCAGAGGAAGTAGGCTGCTGAGGGTGAGTCTTAAGGGCTGTAGCCTACCCCTCTTGCTATTAGCCTCTCTTTGCTTCCTGATCTTCAGAGGTATTAGCAAGCAGCCTCACACGCCAGCTTCTCCAGCAGCCCCTGATGTCATGCCACGCCTTCCCTGCCACATAGAGCCCAAACAGACACTTCTTTAGCTTCAGTTGCTTCTTGTCAAGTGTTTGTTCCTAAGGAGGGAAACGTATCACACCTGCCCCTAGGCCAACTGAGAGGCCCCATCGGCTGTTTGTAGACCCTGAATCGAATTCATCTTTTCCTGGACTGTAGAGTCTCCTTAAGCATTTTTGTCCTCCTACAATTCCTACACCACAGGAAGACTCGGGAATTCTGGTGACCACCTGAGAGAGTGCTTCTAGAAGTTTTTGATTGCCCATTCACAAATGCTTTAATTATGTGAACCAGTGGGAAAACGAGGCATGCCAGCAGCAGTGAATGGTGGCTACTGCCTAGTGCTTTCAGCCTCTTTCCTTCTGGTAAGGGGGTGGGGAGTAAAGATAGGGGTAGGGTAGGGGAAACAGGATTGGATTTTCATGGTAGGGAGAGGAAATGGGGAATAGGGAATACTCTAGGATCCTCCTAGGATTTTGCCAGCTCCTTGCTTATGCTCAAACTTGGACCTCACTTTTAGGATATACCATTTAGGGGCACACAGCAGGAACCTCTGTGGACTTTGGGTCAAAACAATTATTGAGACTTTCTCCATCACTGAGGCTCCAGCTTGAAAAGCTATCCTGTTAAGTCGTAAATGATCCATCTGGTCCCTGTCACCACCTACACAAGGGTGTATAGGGAGTGAAAGCCTCTCTCTTTTAGACAATGCATCAAATACTCACTGCCTTCCAGGCTCTAGGCTAGGCCTGGGGGCACACCAGAGAGTTGACACCAATCCTCCAATAGAGAGAGCTTGTTTTGGTGACTCACTCATAAAAGCCTCTGTAGACTCTTTCAAGGTAATAACCCCACATAGCACTCAGCCTCCAAACAGCCCTCACTGCCCATCTATTCTCCACTGACCAGATACCACAATTAAGGTGTGACAACAGTCCTGAGACACAAGCCCTCAGAGGAGTAGGAGGACAGCGCTTAGGGAGCCTGTCACAGCTGTGGTGCAGTGCCCATGTGGAGGCTGTGGCTGAGGCGTGTGTTCTACACTTGGTTTTTCAGTTTGATATTTAAATAGGGAAGGGGAGTTTGTTTCCACTAAAGAGAAACAAAACAAGAGTATCATCTAAGAGTCCTCAAGACCATTCCCGGGCTCAGTGCAAGGATCCACAAGTCAGCAAAGCAAGCCCATCGTGCTTATCACTGATTGCCATGAAAGGAAACAGGTTAACAGCAGCAGGAACAAAATTCCATCATGCACATTCAGGGGTCCTCTCCCAGAAGGGCTCTATAGACAACATTTACTTCTCCCAGAAGCAATTCATGATAGCCTGGGGAGGGGAGGGAAGGAAGGTATTGCCAACCAGGGAAGCTCACCTATGCCTTGGTGAGCTTTTACTGGGCATCAGTCACATAGATGAGCCTGAATTTTATGGTCTTCTTGGTCACCATGTGGCTGTAGAGGTCAAGTTGGAACTTCATGGGACAAACCCCTCAGCATACACCACAGTGTTGGCACAGACTATCTAGTGTGGCCTAAGATTCCCAGGGAAACGATGACGTCTTGTAAACAAGGTGTACCAAAGGCTTAGAGGTTGTCCCTAGCAGCTGGGCACAGACTAGACATGCCTTTGTGTACAAAGGTCACAGAAGGAATCAGTGCAGCTACAGAGGTCCCTAAACACAGCTAGTGAAGAAAGGTTAAAGACTTGGTGGAACTTACAGAATATGTTCCTGAGGTTTTGATTTTAACGTTAAAGTGATATGAGTATCCTCCAGCATATGTGTAGATGCTGACACATACACAAAATCAGAGGCTGGAGAGCAACTCCAAAGAGACTTTGGTACTCAGGCAGGTGCAGTGCTGACAGCTGAAGCATCCATAGCATCCCTGCAGCGGAAGCGATACCTTGGCAATAAGCATTCCTTTCCTTCTGGGCCAATTGGTTTTCAGAGATACCTTGCTCCTGTCAGAGTCAATTGGATGTGGGAGGCTCAGGGCCAAATTAAGTCTGTGAACTTAGAATCAAGTGCTCTGTGGTTCTGGAGCTTAAAAAGAAGAAGACAATCTCATTTGTGGAAAAGATTGAACCTGGAAATTAAATGGCTTCAAGGTGAGGCAGAAGTTCCTGCCTAAACTGGCCCAAGGGTGGTGGGTAGAAAGGAGAACTTCCTCAAGATGGGAGTCTTTGTGTTTATACCATTGTTGGGGCTGATACCCCTGTGCCACACTCACCTCCAATGGACAAACCTGATAGGCTTGGTAGTCCTATCTACCAGGAACTGGGGGCTTGGGCTTGGTTGTTTTGAAAATATCCCTTAAGATGTGTATGTGTGCATCTGTATGTGAGTATGTGCACTCACACATGTGTTCAGGTACCCATGGAAGCCAGGGGCATCAGATCCCCTAGATACGGAGTTTTAGGTGGTTGTAAGCCTCCTAATGTGGACACTGGGAACCGAACCCAAGTCCTCTTAGAAGACTAGGGAGCACTATTAACTACTGAGCCAGATCTCTAGCCCAGATGACTTTGATGGCAATAAACAGGGTATCCTGAGGAAGAAGTAAGTGATGAAACTGGAAAGCAAGGTGCATGACTGTTTTTTTAATTGACACAATAATTATGCATATGTATGGGATATATTTCCATATATGTATATAACAAGTAATGATCAAGTCAAGGTAATTAGCATTTCTCTCACCTCAAACATTGATCATTTCTTTGTGTTGAGAACACTCAAAATCTTCTAACATTTTGAAATATATAATGAATTATTAAAAGCTGTAACCCCTCTACTGTGCTGGAGAACTGTAGGACTTATGCCTCCTCTAACTGAATTTTGGTGCCTGTTATCAGTCCTCCCTCCACCACCCCCAGCCCCTAGCCTCTGTCCTGTCCAAACCAACACCTCATGTTCTCATTCATATGTGGAAGCAGGTTTGAATGGCCTTAGATTCTTTGTTAAGAAATACACCTTCTGTTAGAGGTGATTAAAGTATCGAACAATTAAGTAGCCCGGCCAGATTTGTATAGCTGAAAGAGCACTGGAAGCCATATACAGAAGGAAAGGGAATAGGAAGAATGAGATGGGGAAGGGCTTAGGAGTTCATAGTAGTTCTCTAGGCAGGAATCATTGTGGATTCAGAAGAGTCCTTCAGAACTTCAGGGTCAGAACCAGAAGCTGATCTGGGTGATGGACAGGGTAAATTGTAATTTAGTGCTGGGGAAGAGGATGTGGGATGATCTGTTAATAGAAATCAGAACTTGAAGGAAGGAGTATGTCAGTAGAAGACAGTGAAGCCACTGTTGAAGAGCTGAGTGATTGTGTGTATGGAAGTAGCCAGTGGCGTAGTGGGCTGATTAGTTAGGTGGGAATTCAGGACTGGATATATGTGTGTGTGTGTGTGTGTGTGTGTGTGTGTGTGTGTGTGCAGGGAACTGCTATACATCATCAACTTGTCCAACAACTTTAGGTCTCAGATGAAGGAATGTGGACCCCAGGCTCCCTTTGGGCCTTCACAGTTTCTTATGACTAGGCTAGAATCACTAGTTGACCAAGTTTTCACTGACTTCCAGCCAGCAGGTGTTCCCTGAAAACTGAATGCAGGTCTTTGTTTTACAGGATTACACAAGGGTCGTATGCCCTGTGATTGACATCATCAACCTGGATACCTTCAATTACATTGAGTCTGCCTCAGAGCTCAGAGGGGGTGAGTCAGCTAATACTTCTCTTCCTCCTCCTGTTTCTCCTTTTTCTCTCTCCTCCTCTTCTCCCCCCTCCTCATTTTACTCCCCTTCCTCTTTAACCCCATCTTAATGTGGAGAAAATGAAGACCTCCTAGAGAGTTGTTTGACATGTCTGAGTCTATATCTTGCAATAAAATCCAGTTCATCCTGGCCCTTTCTCCTGGGACTGTGAAGTGAAATGCTGGGGAAATGAGCCAGACATCCCAGCCTCCAGAGCTCTAGCTTTAATCTGGGGCTCACCTCTAGATGCTAGGATGTAGGGGAAGCTAGGAGTCCTGGTTTATGTGGGGCCTGACTTGGTCTGCTATGTTGATATTGACATCACCCTCTCCTGGAGACCCTCCCTCCCCTGCTCTCAGCCACGAGCCTAGTTCACTTCCACCCAACACTGACATCTAGGTGATTCTGACCATTTACACCAAACACCCTGCTTACTCCTTCCCAAGACTCAGACCTGTGATTTTTGTTCCATAATGCCCATTCTGTCACCCTTGTGCCATGTGCCTTGGCTTTTAACCTTTGCTCTTTATTTCTTTGCCTAGCAGGAAGCTTCAGGCAGGCTCCATGGGCTAGAGTGGGAGAAGGGAATTTAGAGGGAACTTTGGTAGCCCCACTGTTGATCAAGCAAATTTTCCCAGGAACTAGAAAAAGAGTGGGATAAGAAAGCACTGAGTGTTCTTTGAGAAACCAAATCAGCTGGGCCAATGCTGTTTTAGGGTTTGACTGGAGCCTGCACTTCCAGTGGGAGCAGCTTTCCCCAGAGCAGAAGGCTTTGCGCCTGGACCCCACTGAGCCCATCCGGTGAGTACAAAGGGCTGCTGCAGTAGGGGGTGGGTGGATTCAGCTATCCTCCCTGCTATCCCATGGTTCAGAAAGGTCAGTACTGAGTGTCCAAAAGTGTGGGAAAGTGGGAACGTAAACCCTGGGCCAGGGAATCTTTTTTCCCCTTATTCTGGAAAGTTTCCATATTATGGAGACTTCTGGGTATGGAAATGGGACCTCTAGAGACCTGTGCTGTGGAATGGTAACCAAAACTCCCCACCTTCACACCTTCAAGCCATGATGACTTTTATGCCTCTTGACAGCTAACATGTAAGGGTCCAAGGTCATCACATTTGGGCCTCTGGTGAGGGAAGAAATGCTTCCTAGAGCCCATGGGTCCAGGGTTTTGGTTGTCAGGGTTCATCTCAGAGAGGATATATGGAGGCCATGAGCCCTGTCACTATAAAGTGGAATGAAGACATGACCACTGCTATGTGGTGACACATCTGTGCTTGTTCTGTGTGAACTTGGTGGCTTGAAATGAGCTAATTGGCCATTGTGTAGATGATTCTGGCATGCCGCACATCCTCTTTTTCCATTCCATTGTCACCTATGCTAGCAAGCTGTCTTCCTGGAGTTCACTGCCATTGGAGAGGTTCTGGCATAGAATAGAGCATAGTTTCTATCCTACAGAGGAGCCTGCGGTCTCAGCATAAAGATATGGCCTTGATGTTATACTTGAGACTGGTTTGCAAGCTCATCCAAGGCCTCTTGGGAAGCTCCAGACTCAAACAGTTCTGCCTCAGCAGGGAGCTGGGATATCTGGAGTGCTTGAAGAACTACAGACAAGGACAGTAGACTGGAATTTCTCCATCCAGTCACTTTAATTACCCAAGATTATTCAAGAGTGCCTGTGTCTCTGATACCTCCATCATTGTAGATGTTGGATCATTTTAATGAGTTGACTTAAGTTGAAATAAAAACTGGGGGGTACCAAAGAGATGAATGGTTGTGGTCTAGACAGGTGGGTCTAGACTCAGAGATGCTTGTGTCTCATGTATCTCCTAACTCATCTTTCCTTCCTCATCCTTCATAATCTGGACTGAATCTGAGAGAGAGAGAGAGAGAGAGAGAGAGAGAGAGAGAGAGAGAGAGAGAGAGAGACAGAGACAGAGAGAGAGACAGAGAGAGAGAACCAGATGATACTTAGGACAGTGTCCTTTTCCCAAAAGGGAAAGGAGCTACCTGCTCCCCACACCAGGCTGAGCACTATGCTCTTTTATGCCAGTGCATGGAGCAGGTTTTGGGTGTGGAGAGAGTGTAGCCTGTGAAAATACTTCAGAGGAGTGGCGCAAGGCATGGGCAAAGATGGCACTGAAGCTGTCAGTCTGTCCCAAGAGAGAGTCTTGGGATGGGTGTTCTTCTTATGTACATAATCAGGGAGGAAGCATTTCCAGAATTAGACCAGCATTCCAGGAACAGCATATTGTCATAGCAATGGCAAACTCTGGATTTCTGACCTGCTCTCCGGGTTTGCTAGGGAGACAGAATTCCCTTTGCTCTCTGGGCACACTAAAGTGGGGGCCGAGACCCTGAGTGTTCACAACCCTAGCCATTGATTTTGCTAATGTGTGTCCTGATCCTTGCAGAATTACTTGCTTGACTCCTGCTACTCTTGTCTACCTGCCCACTATCTTTCTGAACAACTTCTCTAGCATCTCTCTGAGCAATCAAGAACCAGAGTAGGTTAAAGGAGACTCCCCCCTTCCCAAAGAAAGAGAGTATATTAGTTTGCTATGGCTGCAGCAGCAAGCATCTGAGTTGTTTAAACAAGTTGTTTAGAGAAGTCTGTGTCGTGGTTTAGAGACAGGCAAGGTGTTGGCAGAGTTGCTACCCTCTGATAGCTGTCCAGGTCTCTTGGCTCAGCTTGCAGATTGCCAACTTCTCTCTAGTCTCCACATCCTCTTCTTGGTATGTTCAAATCTGCATGCCATTTTCCTTTTTTATAGGAACCTCAGTCATTGGATCCAGGCCCACCCTCATTACCTTGTTTCAACTTGATTACCTCAATATATATATACATATATATTCTGCCTCCAGATAAGGTCACATTCTGAGATACTGGGAATTAGGATTTCAGTAAAACTTTTATTTGTGTGTGGTGGGGAGGGGCAGGGATTCAAAATACAGCATAAAGGTAAAGACTAAAATCAAGGAAGTGGACAGAGGTCAGGATATGGTCACACTGCTCACAGACCTTCTCTGCCTGGTCAGTGACTGTCAGCTTTGCTCCAAGAGCCTCACTAAGCAGAACTGGGGGAGGAGGAGCAAGTGGCAACTCATTGGAGAGGCATTGATAAGTGAAGTTTCCTGTCTTCAAGGTCAGAGAATTTGTAAGCAGAGGGCAATACTCTGCAGCAGATCCTTGTTTTAGATAGCCTAAAAATATATTGGCTCTTCTGAAGAGGGGAAGAAATTGTCTTGAGTTCTGGACTCTCAGAAGCAAAGAGTTGGAGGGTACCTTTTTATTAAATGATTCCCCACCTTATCCTCTTTCCAAACAGGACTCCAATCATAGCTGGAGGGCTCTTTGTGATTGACAAAGCCTGGTTTGATTACCTGGGTAAATATGACGTCGACATGGACATCTGGGGTGGGGAGAACTTTGGTAAGTCTCTGTCCTGTGTGTCATGATCTATGTTTTATTCAGTGCAGCCTGAGAGCTCTGTAAGCTTACCACCACCACATCAACTGAAAGATCTGGAATGGGGGGGGGGGTTGGGAATATGAGTCACTTCTTTTGGGAAAAGACTGGTCAGGCTTCCAGACAGTGATTTTAGGAAGGTGGTCATAGCAAGAGAATTTCTCCATGGGAAGTTTAGATGCCAAGGACAAGGGATGCATGCCCAAGCAGGTTTTGGAGGGAGAGGAAGTAAGATGTGAAATTAAAGAGAACTAAGAATGAATACCAAGACAAAGGTGCCAGATATGAACTTGAGCTAGAAGCACTGAACTTGGGGGTTTGAAGTTGAAGAAGACAGAGAAGGAAAAGAACGTGGCACAAGAGCAATCCCTTCTCATCATAGTTCTGGGTTGATCACCACAAAAACCATGAATGAGGTCATCTACCCTTACCTTTCAGTGGGAAAAGAAGGGGGTGGGAAATGGTTGGTTACTACACACAGGTGCCCTTCCATGGGAAAGTGTAGCTTTGTAGTCACTCCTTCTTAGGGGTGCTGTGGATATCTTGAGGTCAGTAAGAGTGGTGGTATCCATGGACATGTGAGTTTCTACCCAGGAGGTGGGAATTATTGGGGCTGGAATGTAGTCTGTGTTGTTTCTGTACATCTCCATCCCTCGGTGTGCCTAGGGCCTGCTGTTCAGGAGGCCCATGATGACTGTTGGTTGAGCAAACCAGTCACAGAAGTGTAAGAGGGAGAGTCCTAATGTGAAGGGTGCTTCTCCTCTGTGGGTGCTGGGATTGTGTGCTGGCATGGACTTGGGGAGCAGTACATACGCCAGAAAAGCAATCCATTGGCTCACCCTGGCATTAGCAGCCTTAGCATTATCCATTGTTGTCTCCTGTCCCTGCCCTCGGGGTGTTTTATGGCTTTCTTCCTTGGTCACTAAGAATTATTTCCCAGAAATTTATGGCTTTGGCCTAACCCTCAGCATCTGTTCTCCAAACCTGGGCAGGATAGGGGAGAAATCTATCAGGAAATTGGTTTCTTGCCAGGTAGGGGTCAGACTGGAAGCATAGTAAACAGAACTGGAATCTCCAGTCCCCTGCACACAAGTCAAGGGTGACTCCCCTTCTGGAGGAATCAGTCATTGGTGGTCCTGTTGAATGTAACAGAGATTGTGGATGTGCTGGTGTGGGGTTCAAGGCTAAGTCTGCCTACACCAGCCTCGGTGAAGCTGGGTATCCTATTACACAGAACCATTTATTTGCATATCTCCAGGCTCACTGCACTTCTTACTTAGTGAGAAGTTCTAGTCCTCCTTCCCACCAGCAAATTAGTGCTCCCTACAGCCCATCTGATAGATGGCAGTGGTTCAGTCTCTGCCCCAATGCTGCTCTTAAAGATTCAGAAACTATTTTGCTGTTAGGCATATTCTGGGTTGAGAATTTCTTGTGAAATTATTAGAAAACCCTTCAAGTTACAGCTCAGCTCCATCCAGTTTGTCTTCGGGGTTCTTCCTGTCCTCTTGAACTGCACGAGGCAGGGATGATCCCTCCTGGGTGTAGCAGTCACATTTGGATGTAGGCAGCATCATCATTTGCAGGATGGCACATTCCAGTCCCACTTACCCGGCACCCTTCCTTTAGAGCGATGTTAACACACAGCTGCTCAAATCAAGATGCAATCTCATGGAGCCCGCTTCTGAGTCGTTTGGCATCACCAAGGGCTGATTTGAATAGAGAAGTTGGGAAATTGTCCCTGGGAGGTGTGGGAGAGATGTTTTATAATCCATCACAAGATTTTTGAGACCACAGAGAAGCAACCACTTTCTTTCCCTGCACCCCAGCATTCTATTATGTTGTAGCTGACAAACAACACTCTAAAAGCCTTTTCTGGAATTCTTTTCCTTTCTTTTTTTTTTTTAATTTTGTATACCAGAAAGAACTTTTCCAAGAGTGGATCCATCACTTGATTGTGTGCATGGGGTAACATTTGCAAGGGGTGGGTAACCAGGCCACAAAATATGAGCAGGGGAGAATTCTAAAGTGGGCCAGGTGATTGATGGGTGATTAGCTATCTGGATGGAGGGTGTGAGCAGTGCTTTGGCTACAAAGCAGGTGAAAGAAGCTGCCTGTCAGAGTAGAGGAATCCCATCTGTAGGGTCTATCAGGGGATTCTCACTCCCCTGTAAACATACCACCAAGCTACCAAGTCCTATCTCCCTCATACCTAGCTTTCCTCTCCACCCCAGCCAGCCCTTTGCTAAGTGGTTCTCCAATAGCATTTATTATTGTCAAATCTACTCTTCAGCCCCTGCCAAGGTTCCCTTGCTAAGAAGCAAGCCTCCCAGGTCTTGGTCCACAGGTCTGCTTCCCTCCCATGGCTTTGTCTATCTCTCAAAGCCCAACAGACTTGTCCCATTTCCAACCTCCACACACCCTCCTGAACTTTTGGACTGTTCAGATCCTCTGCAAGGATGGAGCCTCCTTATCCACCCACTGTGAAGCCCTGAAGATGGCAGTACTGGCTGACCTCTTCCACCACCTGGACACTTTTTCTGCCTTCTCCCTACTCTACCCTTCCCCCACCCACCCACCCACCCACTCTGCCAACAAATTTTCTCATCATGGTGTTTCTTTATAGCTCCATTGCACAGACCATCTAAGTAAGCATCTGTCCCATTGTCTGTCCCTGCCCCCATGCTGGTTCCCTTAAGGCAAGAGCAGAAAGTTCATCTCCTTTCTGGTTCTCAAGCCCAGAATAGTTGAAGCTGCTCACAAAATGTATGTGTAAAAAGCAAGAGACTGAATGGGAAGGGATTTCTGGGTGGGAAGGCAATCCAGACACAGATGTCTCCCCCATGCCCCAACCTACGGACACTCAAGTCCTTTACATGTAATGGTGTAAAATTTGTATAGAACCTGTGTGCAAACCCTTGTATTTCTTAAATCACTTCTCCATTAACCATAATACATAATAGATTGTAAACATTAAACAGTTGTAACCTACATGATTTAGGGAAAGATAGTGAGGAAAATGGCTTTACGTGTATGCTCAAGACAAACAAAACACAGTTGTTTTCTATTTTCAATAAAATACTAATCCACAGTTGGTTGAATCTGGGATGAGGAGGATGTAGCACAGACAACACAATACATAAGGCTTTGTTTAAAATACTTTACATTGAATACAATGGAGCCATGTTTGAGGGGTCTCTTTGATTATGTCAACAATAGAAGCAGGCTGACGTGTCTGTCCATCCCAAAATTTCTGTGTGCTCTCAATATGTTTGAAGCTCCAAAATCACATGTGCTTTTTGGCCAGGGTAATTAAGGCTGAGCTGGATCCTACTCTCACCCAGCCCCATCTCTACTTTAGAAGTCTCTGCAGATGGATTGACTCCAGGGCCTTATAAAAGCCACATTGTGTCTTGGTTAACCTCCCCACCTGCTGACCCTGGCACTTCATTCCCACCAAGTGTTTCTAAAATGAGCTGAGCACATTTGATAATTATATCCACAGTTTAGGATATGAGCAGGCTTTAGGGAAATGTGGCTTTTAGATTTTTTTTTCAGAGGTTGATTTGCATTAAAATTGGATACTTAAACTCCAATTTACATAACACAGGATACATGTAATATATCTACTTACTCTGAGCCCTGCCACATCTCACTTTTAGCTTTTGGTCTCCAGAGAAAATCTGCTGCCAGTCACAAGTGTGTGTGTGCAGCAGGGTGGGGGTAGGGGGGTGTTCGTATTTCCAAAAACAGGAAGCTTTGGCACACATACAGGGAGATTGTGGGATTCCTGAATTTAGAATGAGGGATCTCCGAAGCACAGCAGGCACAAAGGACAGAGCTGAAAAGAGAAATAAGGTAGAGACTTGCCACCACCCACCATCCCCAGAATGGAGTCTAGGCTGCCAGGCTATTCCAGGCTCGGGGGATGTGTGTGGTACAGGAAGAACTCAGACTGTGAGACAAGCCAGGAGTAAGTTTGAAGCCCATAGTTATCAGTAGGTACCCTTGGGAAAGTTACCTCACCTCACTGAACCTGTTTCTGGTACTAAAAGGTAGAATCAGTGATCTCTTAGGTAGAGTGAGCAACCACCCAAAAGATATCCACACCCTAAATACCTGGAACCTGTTAGGCTGTGACCTTATCCGACACAAAGTTTCTAGGTAATATATATTCTGATCAGTGACCTGAAGTTAGGGCATTTTACAACAGGTCTCATCTAATATCAGAGGATCTCTAAAACCAGAGAGCTTTCTTAAGCAGCAGAGAGGTGACACAAGTCAGGTGCCATGCTCCAAAGGGACATTAGCAGCTGTTAGTTTGAGGATGGAAGGGACAACTGGAAGTAATTGAATGGAATTCTGGGTCATTGGCCAGCAAGGAGAAGGGAACCTAAGTCCTATAGCCCCAAGGGACTTCTGAAAATAGCTGAATGAGCTTCATAGCAGGTACTCCTTCAGAGCCTCCATGAAGGGACATGGTCCTGCTGATGCCTCCAGCCATGTAAGACACTGACTGGGTAGAGGCCCCTCCCAAGCCCTCTAAGTCTGGGATGAATCATTAATAGCAACACAAGGTAACTCATTACATCTGTCTCTCATGGGGCTGCATGAAGACAGCTGAGTCTCTCCTCCAGAAGTGTTGGCTGCCTTCCCTTCAGGATGCATGTGGCCAGCATCTGATAAAGGAGGGCTGAGACCCTACTGAGAAAGGTCAGTGCCAATGCTTCTGCTTGAGCAGAGAAATGGCCTCAATGAGAAAGAACACTCACATTTGGGGAGACACCACTGTTCCCCAGATAGAGAGCAATCTTGATTTGCAATGGCCTCTGGGCTGCTTGCTAGAGCCCAGTACCACCTGTTATTCTCCATGCCCCATGGTGATGCCACAGGCCACTCTTTGCTGATGTTTTTAAATGTCCCACATTTTATCAAATAGGGACACTGGTTACTTATTTGCAATCAGA